AACCGGGTTAGTTTTAACTTGTAATTTAGGTAACATTAGGTTTAATGCTACGGCGCTTGTCGTTTAGAGATAGTTCTTATACACTATCTGCCAACAAGTTAAGAGTTTATCACTTATCTTCTAAAATGCAACTTAGTATAAAATTTTACAAGCCTATAGGGTTCGTACAAAGCCTAATAAAGTTAAAGCATAACTGCCGAATTTAAAAAAAAAAATAAATAAAAATAAATAAAAAATAAATAAATTTTGACATGATTGATATTTTTCAATTATAAATAAAAGTTGATTTGTATAATAAAAAATCAAGATAATATAAATAAAAGATTACATGAGATTGCGTAGGACCAATGCATTATGAGATTACCTAATAGTTGCCTGTTACTTTTAACCAATCAAAATTGTGAAATTTAGTTAATCATGGATCAGTCCAAAAATCAAAACAAATAATTAAATTCAATTATCTCAAAATAAGATAAAAGTAAAAAAGGGCTGTTTTAATATATAACACCTCATATACTTAGTAGAGAGAAAATGTAGATCTGGACATATCTACACATCTTCAAAGTAGAAAGTTTAAATACAATTTTTACTAACCTAAAAAGCTTTAACATGCAGCATTTTAAACTAGGCTTTTTTATATTGGTCTAGCTTTTTTTTTTTTTTTTGCTATGACAAGAAATTAATAACAGCTAAAAATTAAAAAAAACTTTACTAGAAATAGTACAAATTCCAAATGCTGAATTACAGTAAGCTAGTCTGGATCTCAAATAGGAGTATTGATCTAAACTGAAATGCTATTGTATAAGAATTAATGGCTTGATGTTCTATTTTATCATATTAGATCTACCCACCAGATTTCTGCTATGGATCAATCAAACAAGCTAATCTATTTAAGCTATACAAACTTAATATGTCAAATTTCAGTGAGTTTTTATATATTTTTTATGCATAAAATTTTTAAATATCAGGTTGTTATATTACTTTCAAAATTTTATATTATGAGAACTTATTTGTTAAAACTCTTATCATTTTATTTAGCAGAATTATGATTGAATTTTATTTATAATCATATAATTTGGGATAAAAAAATAAAAGAATTCAAAGCAGCCTTTAGAGACCAAAAAAAAAACTGAAAAATATTATCTTTTTTGTCCCAAATTCTAACCACTCTAGTAGCTTACAACGTCCAAGTTATAACTGCTTCAATTATTTAGACCCAAAAAAAATAATATTGAAAGTTGCTTCTTATTTTTTTCTCTTTTATAATGCCATTCTTTGAATTTTTTTCATAGACTTTTAATTTCTTTTCATCAAACCCTTTTCCGATTTTGAGGCTTTTTTGAAATTTTATAACTTTTTCTAATGCTTCTGTGGTTTCATTAATAGTAATTAAGATAGTGGTGATAGTTCATCATCATCATTGTCATTAGTTTTGTCATTATTATTATGAAACTCATAATTTACCATTTCAATAATTCCTTCATCTGTTAGTGCATCTTCGGTTACGACTAGTTGATCTATCAGGTAGGTATATTCTTCAATATTATCTATTAATTCTTGAGCTTCCAGATTATTTTCGATCAAAAAATCTTCAACTAACATATCAACACCATCAACCTTAAAAATCACATCTTCAAGTTCATTTTCTTGCCTACTTTCTTGTCTATCTTCTGCCTCTTTATATTCGTTTGGTTTACTTGTTTCCGGTATAATTCTTGTAGCTTTTAAACAATTCTTTATAGTAGTATCACTAACATTGTCTCACACATCAGAAATAAATTTGATGGCTTTCAGTAATATAAGTTTCCTGTATTATAAAATATAAACAATTAGTAAATTAATAACTAAGGTTGGAATCAGTTTTATTTTTTGAATGTTAAAACCAAGATTAATTGGCTTTTACATATGAAAAATAAAAATGGCCCAAACTCTATATTGGAATAATTCTAAAATCGGATAATGCTGAGCTTATTTTAGGGTGCTCTCAAGGACCTAAATTAATAGGTCGAAGTACAATTGTTCATTAGTAGAAAATAAATTAGTCAGTCAAGTGAGTTTACTATCATGATCAAAAAAAAGATAGTCTCTGACTATCTTTTTTTATCAGAGTTGCATTGATTTGTTAAAACTAAATACAGTATCTGCATTTCATAAAGTGAACTTTGACAAAATTATTATAAGGCTTATTTTAATTAATAAATACTTGTGCGAGAGAGATATTTGAAAGCGCTTTTAATATTTATATTTTAAATAGAGGCCAGCATTATTTAGGTTTTGAATTATCTCTAACAATGCTAAAACAAAATTTTTACCCTTTCTCTTCATTTTTTTCGAATTGTAATAGCAAATAATAGCAATAAAGGTTTTTATACTTTGATTTGAAATATTTTATTACACCAGCATCTATTGGTTGTAGACGTGCAGTCATATTAGATGGGAAAAATATATAGTGATGTTTGTAAGATAAGAATAGTCTAGAACTTTTCGTTGAGATTCTTCACAGAACCTTTCTTGAGAACTTTCTCGGAAACTTCCTTGGGAACTTCTTTGAGTCTTCCTTAAGACCTTTTACTGGACCTTCCACAGGACCTTTCTCGAGACCTTCCTTGGACCTTCATCGGAACCTTCCTTGCGATCTTTCTTGAAATAGTTTCTCTGGCTTTTCCGATTCTTTAGGCTCTTCAGGAGTTTTGGGTTTTTCAAGCTCTTTGGTATTATTTGTATTATTTTTCTTCGATGATGTATGAGAAGGTGCATTATTGACTAGAAGTAAAACCTTCTTATTTTGAATGCGAAAACCATCATCGATAAATTTTAACCAATTCTTCCAAATATCACTTTTCATCCATGCTTTTTTATTATCTCGATAGTTGACTAGTAATTGCAATTGATTTATTCTGTTAAAAGATCATGGCTTTCTAGAGGAACCGATGACCAACAGGCAAACCTTGTCAGATCCAGTTAAATTGGCGCAAAGCAATATAGTTATTCTTGATTTGTCCTACAAGTTTATTATTTAAAAAAAATTTTTTAATTAATTTTTATTTATTTATTAATTTTTTATTTATTTTCTGTTTAACCTTTTTTTTCCAGCTATTGCTTTACTAGAAATCGTTTGATTCGGAAGTAACTGATAGAATAAACCCATCTTGTTGGTATTATATATATTATTTGGATTATATTGAGAGAGAAGTTCTTGTAATTTAGTACGTTTCATAAATAGGTTTTTTAAGGAGGCGCTTGCTGCTTTGCTATGCATTATAATTTTTCTCAATCCATTTCTTTTCTTAAACTTCAGATCTAACTATTAGAAAATGTAAATAATTCTTCAGGTATGCTGAATTCTTTTGCAAACTAATGACTTTTCTCTTTTATTAATAAGTCAGATATAATTATTCTATGGATTGTAACTTGCTCTATTTATATGTTTATCGCAAGCTTTAATTTTGGATGTTTTACAGAACAGTTTTTTCAACTTGTTTATCATTTTTAAGTTGGTTATACTCATCAGCTTGCTTTAAGATTTTTGTTATAGTTGAGTGATTGATTTTCATATTTGGATAAAACTTTGTAAACTCGTCTACTATTTCTTAATGTCTATATAACAGTTTTTTTTGCAAATTCACATATTTCTTTTTTTTGTGCGTCACTATACGACTACACGTTTTTTTAGGCACTAATTGGAGTGGTATAATTCTGAGTTGAAAAATTATATAGTACAATATTTATAACTTTTAAACTTTTTTTTTTTTTTTTACTGATTTATTTATTTCTTGCAAGTATAGTCTATTTAATTTGTAACAAATGCAAAAGGCTAACTGAAGAAAATCAAGAATATACACTTGAATTGTAAACTTTAATACAGAATCTTAAGATTAAGTAAACCAGATATTTAAACTACCACCATATATGTATGCTGCTATTGTATATTTGAATGAAATTTATATGGGTTTTGAATCAACTTAAGTTAATTCTAACATTATTACATTGAACAAATTTTAAATTTATTCAAATTGGCATTACTTTCTACAAGGCAGCTTGGCCTTTTTATATTTGCAGTGATTTTTCACATTTACTATCTATTATAATATTGATTGTACTTGTGAAGTTTCTTACGTATTTATAGCTTTTCAAGAAATATTATCCTATTCAGAATTTGTTTACCAAAATTTTAAATTCCAAATAGAATACAAATATGCAAGTCTTATTGATTAGCAAGTTTACTGCAACAAGTTATTTCCATATATAAAAACTTTTGGGGCTTCTATATTTGGAATTGGGACTTAATATTTAAGATTAGGTTAGTTATCTGATTTTGGTAACAAGTATACATGTAAGTCATATTTTTATGTAGCTAATAGTTATTTATATATTTATTAGCTAAAAAAATCCATGCTGTTTTAATTTTAGGCAATAAATAAAAAAAAACACCAATTTATTAGAATTAGTATAGTATAGATAAGCAGATTCAGGCTGAATTTTTAAATCTATACTACTGTATACTGATTCAGTATAATATATATTGGTATTAGGGTTAGAAATTATAGCTGATTAGATATAGATTTTAAATTCAGTCTATACTATATAGGTTTGCTTATCTATACTATACTGAATTGCTATAATCTTGCTAACATCGCATTATTTTAGTGATTTAGGGGTTCTTAAGCATATTAATTAATAGATTGAAAGCAAATTTTTAATTTGTTGGTAATTAAATAAACTGACCAATTTGATCATTTCTAGATTTATATCTTATTTATTTAGTTTAATATAAAATTTAAAAAAGTGTCCACAATAATATAGTACCCTCCTGTATATATATTACAATTATACCTATACAAGTTTATTCATGTAGTATTATATACAACACTCTGGCCATGGCAAAAAATTTCAGATCATATAATATTCTGCAGTAAATTAGCCAATAGCAATTTCCAATTTAGTGTAATATTATATGACCAGAAACAAATATTCGCTCTAAAGAAAATTAGAAGAAATCACTTATTTTTTGAGTATTAATAAAAAATGCTAGAAAGGTAATCTCTACTATAATATTTGATGGTTCTTTGTCACTTAATAAAAAAAAGTGACACTTTTGTCTGTATAAGCAAGCAAAAGTATCACTTTTTTTAATTAGTGATAACTTAGACCACCAAAAAAAAAAAAAGTTAAATTTTTTTTAAAAAAAAAGAATGAAAGAGAGAATAAAAAAAACAGAGTAAGAGTGGATAGATGAGGGTGACAGAAAGAAGGAGGAGGTGGGAGTGGGTAAAGAAGAAAGTGAATTGAACAAAGAGAAAAAAGAGAGAAGAGGCAATTGAAACTCCAATTATCTGCCACGAAGTCACATGACTTCAGTTTTTGCATTTTTGCAAGATTGAAAAAGTTTCAAACTCTGCTAAAATGGAGGTTCAAACTCAAACCAAGTGGCAAAGTCATATGACTTATGGGAATAAGAATTCCTATAAAATTGGCAAAATTCAAACTTTGCCTAATTGGAGTTTGAAATTTTGAAAAAAAATTAAAAAAATTAAAAAAAATTTAAAAAAATTAAAAAAAAAATTAAAAAAAATTAAAAAATTAAAAAAATTAAAAAAAAATTATAAATTACTATTAAATTAAAAAAAAAACACTTAAAGAAAAAAAACTCTATTAAATTAAAAAAAAAGCTATTAAATCAAAAAAAAAGTTAAATTAGTTTAATTAAAAAGAAATTAAAAAATTGTCAAATTAAATAAAAAAAGTTAAAATAAAATTTAAAAGAAATTAAAGTTCACAGTTAAAATGAATTCAGGTTTAGTTGAACCCTATTTGGGTTTTTTGAATCTAATTCAGATTTGTTTAAACCCAATTTAGATTTGTTTAAACCCAATTTAAACCATATTTGGGTTTATTTGAACCTAATTCAGATTTGTTTAATTCAGATTCATTTAAACCTAATATAGGTTCTTTTGGATCTAATTTGGGTTATTTAAGCCCAATTCAGATTTTTTGAACACAATTTGGGTTCATTTAAACCCAATTTAGCTTTTTTGACCCAATTTGGGTTTTTTGAACCCAATTTGGGTTTATTTGAACTCAAATTGGATTAATTTAAACCACTTCAGAACTATTTGAACTATGTCAAGTTTATTTAACCCACTTCAGATTTATTTGAACTCATGTTGTATTTATTTGAATCTACTTTAGGTTCATTAAAACTATATTGAGTTTATTAAAACTTATTTTGGGTTTATTTAAACTTATATCAGTCTATTTTTTTTTTTTTTTTTTTTTTAACAATTTGGCAGTCATGCCTTTACTTTATTAGGCTTTGTAATAATCAATCTAGACTATTAAAATTTTAGAGAGACTTATTAGTGAGTAATAAACTCTAAACATATCAGCAGATAGCATATAAGAACTATTTCTAAATAACATGTGCCATGCCCGAGGGCCACACAACTATACCTAAATTACAAATAAAGACTAACCCGGTTGCTCAATAAGTATCTATATTTGACCTGCTATAATAGGATTCTCCTCCTTCCAGACTCCTCCTGCAATTAGATATGACCCAGCTTTCAACAAATGGTACCTACCACCTATTATGACTACATCTCCCTTTTTTCAGACTTCTTTTATCTAAGCCTGACAACAAAATTAAAACTCTTATTCATATATAAAAGAAAAAAATAATACTATGTTTATGAAAGACATAAACATTTTAGAAAAAAAACATCTCATAGTGGGAAAAAAAACTTTTCAACAAATTCTAAAATAGTTTAAT